AGAAGAATCACCCGAAACTTTAAGGCACTTTTTTGTGAATTCACCGCACTTTGGAGGCGTAAATTGAAATCTCTAGGGGCGAAAACCTTTGGAGACCTTGCGGGGACTAAGATGTGGTGACTGCTCAGCTAAATATATGAAGCGAACAATTCTACGATCTATGCTTATATCCAAATCATATTAATTTTTTTCATTTTGAATTTCTAAAAATAAAATAATCCACTTCTTTTCTGGTTTTCAGCTTTCTGGAACTGTCTCAGACCACACATTTTTTTTTTTGTAAATAGTGAAGAAATTACAACAACAGTTTGGGAAGGTAGAAATTACAGCTGCTATTTCGAAAACCGCCACATTTCCACATCAGACTTCTTTTTCCTGGTACCTCTGCTCCAATTGGATTCGAACTTAGGAAGCCCACAGCACGAGCCAATGGTTATCCCATTAAGCTACACGAGTGTCCCTTTCATTTATTGTTGTTTTCACTTTCGCTTTTAGCTACGATCAAGTGTATATCTTCCGGTCGTAAGGAAGCAGCTTGTCGGATGGCAATAGAGAAATTGGTGGAAAGAATAGAGTTGTTGCGAAAAGTTAGTGATGTGAGGAATAAAACACATATATGTCGCTCAAGTACAACTGAGGATATTGTTGCTGTAGTCTAAAGTATTGAAGAAATCCCAGGTTCGTCCAGTCGTCGTCGTTCTTTGGAATTGAAAAAGAAAGAAATTGAAAAAGACTTCCATCTAAAGAATTGCTACAGTCTCGGGCTCAAATTCTGTTGTGACCAACATCCAAAAAAAAATTTTAATAATTCTAATCGCGGTGCAACCCGGTAGGGAATGTCAACCCCTCCGAGTATATTTCTGACATGAAATGAAGCACCTCAGCTACTCGGAGGCGGCTTATTATAAACTTTAGGCCCTTCCATTTTTGGGAAAAACATCAAGACGCAAAATATCATAAATTTGTGTACATTTGTACGACTTAAGTCAATTATGCGCCGTTTTGTTCGTAGACTTGTTGCCAACTTGCCACTTAATGCCAACTGCGTCCCTATTGGCAAAAAACTCGGAGATCCAATTTTCACAGGCTTCCCTTGAGGCCTAGTTCTCACCATTAAGCGCGTTCGCCATGGACAGGAAAAGATGGTAATCATTTGGTGCCAGATCCGGACTATAAGGTGGGTGCATTCGGACCTCCTATTCCAGTTCCTGGAGCTTCTGGCGCATCACCAAAACGTGTGTGGCCTGGCGTTGTCTTGAAGGAACATAATTCGGCCTCTGTTGATCAAAAATGGCCTCTTCTGGATGAGTCCTGCCTTCAAGCGGCCATTCGTCAGCAGTAGAGGGCCGAATTGAGCATTTGGTTATAAGGGAGCAGCTTATAGTAGATGATTCCTTGCCAATCGCACCAAACACCCAATCCGATCTTGGCCACTGTCTGGGCTACTTTCCCGAGCTTTGACCACGACCGTTTGAGCTTGATGTTATCGTAAGTGACCCATTTTTCATCGCCGGTCCGCTTCATAAACAGATAGATATTGTTACGATTCAGCAGCGTTTCGCAGATGTAAGTTCGGTCCATCATTCTTGTTTGTGTTAGTTCGTGTGGCACCCAAACATCGAGCTTCTTTTCGATTCTAAGGTCATGCAAATGGTTCCAAACGGTTTTCTGACTTATACTTAGTTGCTCAGCAATTAAATAAGTGCTCCCGTGACGGTCTGTTTCCACTATTTCCATGATTTTATTGCAATTTTTGATAACAGGCCTCCCGATGAGTGGTACGTTTTTGACTTCGAAACTACAGGAACTGAGTCAATCAATCGAAAAATTGTCAAAGACAAACTTTTAGTGGGAATAAACATGTTTTCAGCGCCGTATAGTATGTCATGATGCGATACGTAATACTAGTACTATGGACAATAACGGCATCTCTTAGATAAAAACCAAATGAACTTTTTACTACAATAATATATATATATATTTATATATATATATCCAGACCACGCTTATTTCCAATAAGACGTTGCCCCGTGCCACACAAGCAACGAAACCAGCGATGTTTTATTGCAAAAGTTTCGGGACCATGGTATCTCTTGAAGTGGTGACCACAATCAAGGGGTCCGATCTTCTAATTTGACTCCCTGCAACTTTTTCCTTTGGAGCTACGTGAAAGATAAGTTGCACGTCAACCGGCCAATGGCGATTTTAGACACCAATTCGTGGAATGAGTGAAGCAATTGAGAGCATACAGCAGCCACTTTACTATTTGTTGAGAGAAAATTGGTTGGTTTTTTAAGCGTGTATGTGGCGTCAATTTAGCTGATGTGATTTGTTTTAAAAGAAGTGTCCTCGTGTTACTTCAAAAATTATGTATCACACTGAAATTGTCTATTTATTTGATTTACGAATACAAATAGGGCACACCTAGTGTAATATCCTAAAAATAGGTGATTTTTGGGAATTTTTATTAAAACAAAATACTTTATCAATTATTTCAAAATTTTAAGAATATATTTATACATATTTCAGGAATATACAGTGAAATTTTTGAAGAAAAAAATTAAATATTTTTCAAGTTATAGTCGATCTCCAACGTCGCGAAAAAAGGTCCATCACTGCTGAATTGATTCCGGCCTTCTCAGTGGATGAAATCTAAAAAAAAATTCTCGATAAAAAAATCAAAAAAATCAATCAAAAATTGACAATATGGCGGCGTTTTAAAAAAATAGTTGAATTTTACACAAAAATTTGGTCGTTTTTGGCCTGCCAAGACTGGATTTTTTGATTAGATAAAAATCGACAGGTCATTGTACGGAGAACTATATATCGAACATGTAAAAATTCGATAGTGATCGGATTATTTGGTTTTGAGTAATCACTGCTGCAAATTTGGAAAATGCTGTTTCGAGAAAAACGCGTTTAAAGATAAAATGATCGTTTTCACTTGTAGCTAATGAGACTCTCTAGCTGCCGAGCGGCTGCTTTTTAAATTGCTATAACTCAAAAACTATTTGAGATATCGATTTTAAATTTTAGTATGCTATTTTTAAAAGTATAATCTACCGAATTAGGAAAAAGTCACACTAGGTGTTGGATGAGTGCATAAGTTCGTGCCCGATTCCGCTGGATGCCGTTCGTATCGTTTGAGAGTGGCGCTCGTGAAAGAAATATATACATATTATTGTACATATCGTTGGAAAGGTGACAGTCCGAACTGTAAATCAAGTATAAAATAACTTCATTTTGATTTGAGTTGCTTAGTGAAAAGACGCATGGAAGATGGACAACGAAAAAGATCATATGCGTCATATTATGTCATACGAATTCCGCAAACGAAAAACAGTAGGCGCTGCAACTAAAAATATTCGCGAAGTTTATTTTGACCGTGCTCCAGCACTCCGCACAGTAAAGAAATGGTTTGCGAAATTTCGTTCTGGAGATTTTAACCTCGAAGATCAACCTCGCAGTGGACGGCCTTCTGAGCTTGATGACGATGTTCCAAGGACTTAAGTTGCGAATAACTCACGTATTTCGACGGAAGAGGTTACCAGTAAATTGAACGTCAACAAATCAACTGCGTTTCGTCGTTTAAAAAAGGTTGGGTACACTTTGAAGCTCGATACATGGGTGCCACATCAGTTGAGTGAAAAAAACAAAGTGAACCGTATGTCAATAGCAATTTCTTTGCTTCGAGGGATCAAAAACGAACCTTTTTTGGATCGGCTCGTGACTGATGATGAAAAATGGATCCTGTACAACAATGTTCAACGCAAAAGAACATGGAAACAGGCATACGAAAGGGCGGAAACTATGTCGAAAGGTGGATTGCATCCGATGAAGGTACTGCTGTGCATTTGGTGGGATATCCGAGGCGTGATCTATTTTGAGCTCTTGCCAGCTGGAGAAACGATCACTGCCAACAAGTATTGTCAGCAATTGGTCGAATTGAAGAAAGCAATTGATGAAAAACGTCCGATTTTGGCCAATCGCAAAGGAGTTATTTTCCATTATGACAACGCCAGGCCACATGTTGCAAAACCGACTCTGGCCAAAATGAAGGAGATGAATTGGGTAATCATGCCGAATCCCTCATATTGACCCGACATTGCACCTTCTGATTATCATTTGTTTCGATCGCTGCAGAACAATTTGAATGGAAAAAAATTTAAAAATGTGGAAGACGTCAAAAACCACCTTGACAACTTTTTCAACGAGAAACCGCGAGATTTCTATGAATCAGGCATCCGTAAATTGGTTGAACGTTGGGAGTGGATTGCTGAACATGATGGCGAATACATAATTGATTAATAAAAGCGCTCTCTTCAAAAAATTTCAATTTTAGTTTGCACTTGAAATCGGGCACGAACTTATGCACTCATCCAATATATATATATATATATGTTTGTTTTCGAATGATTTTCGTTGCCGCTTTTTAACCATCAATAAGAAGATGAGTAATGTTTGTATACTTTCATGTATGTATGTAGTTATGGGTATTATTGCTGGAGCAGATCTTAGTAATTGAAAAAAAAAGCAGATCTTAGTAATTGAAAACTACCTACACATACACACATGCATATGCCCCAATATCTGTTCAATTTTCAACTTTGCATTTTCTTCTTCTTTCCCTTTGGCATTAACAATGGGGAAAAGGAGAAAAATTGCAATAATGCTGATTGCACTTTACAATCAATGATTTCTTAAACCAACACAATCCAAAGAGGTTTACATGTATTTATCTAAACAACTTTGTTTCTTCTTCTTTGTTTTCTTTTCATGTATTTACGCGACGCACCCCAACCACTCGCTCCAACGTACGCAATATGGAATCTCACAAATATTTCTTCAACCTGCGGGCGATATTTGTACAACATTCTGATGCATAATGACAACCGACACACAAAAACAATAACAAAAACAACAACAACAAACCAATAACGATGTATTAAAAAAACCGTTCCACGTCGGGGTGTGCGTGTGCGCAATGTGGGGGGAAAAATATGGCCTATCAAAATCGAAATGTATTCATCAACATTTATGGCATGGACATCGGCTTGTACATTAAATCGACGATATACACATATATTTATGTTGCAACATCAACTACAACTTCATCATCTTCTGCCATACCTTGCGGCTATCAACAAAAACAAAAAATCACAAAAACCAAAAAAATCACAAAAACAAATTGAAAACAAAACCAACAAAAATAAATGCCATTGACTCTTTCGGCTTCATCGCCCACTTCATTTCCACTCTACTTTTATTATTGTTCTTACTGCTGCTGCTGCTGCTGCTGCTTTTGTTGCTGCTGCCACACTCGTCAATAGGAAACGTTTTTGTAATTGCTGCCATCATATTGGAACGTAACTTGCAGAATGTTGCCAATTACTTGGTTGCATCGTTGGCTGTTGCTGATCTACTCGTTGCCTGTCTGGTGATGCCGCTGAGTGCCGTCTATGAGGTAAGAGATGAAAATGTTTAAAAAAGAATAAAAAAATAGAAATGAAAATCTGAGAAAATTATACGGTACCGTTAAGCATGCGTTATCCATATGAATTGTAAGAATGGATGGCATATAAATGGGGAAAGTTGATAGACACAAACGCGTGTACAAAGGGTGTTTTTTAGACATATAGTTTTTAAGCGCAAACAAACACATATAATTTACTGTTAGGACTAAGCATTCAACTTTATGATGGAGATAAGAGCTTGTCTTCAGGCCTCAAAAGTTATCTTGGGCAACTAACCATCGTGGTTGGCTCGAATAAATTCCGACTACTTTTTGTTTTTTTGGGACCGCATATCATCAATAAAAAGCCGAATATTCTTTGCAGAAGCGCCAAATGACTCGGACTTATCTGCACAGCAAAAAACTTCACATAACTCAACTGTGTTAAGGAGTAAGGCCAATCTAGAGGTCGAATAATAGACTGACTTTTAAAAATATATTATAGGAATATGGGAGGAGAAATAAAATTTCTATTTATCCATTTCGTTGAACATTTATTGAAGCATAAAAAGATGCTCTTTAGTTATTATTTTGTTACAAACTGGCGGTAATATAGTCCATTATTTAATAAATTTTTTTTTGAAAGGCGTCCACAGGAGAACCGGTTTTTTTTTATAAAGGACTAGACCTAGAACCAAAAAACAAGAAGCTTTATGATCTACAAACTATGTTCTTTGGAAATAATTACGAATTCATTTTTTAACTAATTTTTTTTCTTTTTTTTTAAGATTGATTTTTGAATAAAAAAAACACGCACTAAACTATTAAAGAACAGTTTCGATTTGATCAAATAACGGCTGCGTACTTCTTAGCAAAATATATTACTGAAGCTACCATCAAAATTTCAGATAAATCGATGCAATAGGGTGCGAAAAGTCTATCCTACCAGTTCGAAAAATTTTATTTTGAGAAAAACGCGTCTAAAGTTTTTATTGTACTCGGCGCACGCTCCGAGGGTAAGCAGCAAAATAAAATGTTCAGCTATTTCTAATATTCTTTCACTTTAAAACTAATTGCATATAATTTATAGGACCCAATGGTACACTGTGAACAAAAAAAATTGCGTTTTTCAAAATCCTAGAGTGGCTTTACCCCTTAAAGGGTTACATAGGTCTTGAAACTTCAAAAAACTCATTTTTTTGATAATTTTTGTATAAAAGTACAAAATGTCAGGAATATTTTTTCCAAGTTTCAAGTCGATCAAAACGAAACTGTAGAAATTAGAGAGTTTTATAACCTGCCGTCTTTGTCACGGCTTGACCGATGATAAAACTTACAACGCGTTTTTCGAGACCACTTTATCGAAATCGGTAGTCAAAATTTCCCAACGATCATTGAAGCGATCGAGTTCAATTTTCCACACTTCTTTTAAGTATTTTTTTTTTTTTGTGGTCATTGAATGAAGGATTTTTTCATCTTTGATTTCAACTCTTTTCCAAGCCAATTTGTGGCTTAATTTTATGCAAAAAATGATGTTTTTTGTAAAAAAAAAACGCTGCAATAAAATCAATTTTTAATTTTTTTAATTTCTCCTCATTAAGGGACAAGTAAAATTCACCTACTTCCTATAAAAAATTGGATTTTTGATTTCAGATAAAAAATGAAAAAGTTTTCATGACTACCACGAAAGCACTTTCTCGTGGACGGTCTATTTCACGACACTGCCAACGCCTTAACTTGTACTATTCTTCATTCAACTTTTCATCAAATGTTGTCCACATATTGTACTTCTATATGTAAACAAAATAAATTGAAAACTTTATTTACAATAGTATCTTTTAAAAAAAAATGGAAGAAAATAAGTTTTTTTTGGCCTTCAAATCCTATGTAAATAAAACGAACTCGGTTTCCATCGTATTAACAGCCATATCGTGGTCCATGACAATAATTTTTGTGGTGGGACATAGCCGTGATACCGTCAACATGAGATCAGCTGCCCCCACTGCTAAGTTCGAGTAGAATTTCGTTCAGCGCCATCCCGCAAAGAAGAATAATTTCTTGCTTCCTTCCAGATAAAGCCCAAATGCACAAGAGAAGACATTTATGACTACAACATCGCCTAGACATCAGTTATTCAGATTCTCAAAGATTGCATAAGTGAAATTACAATCGTCCTTTTCTTTTGCCGAAAGACGATCTTGACAAATAATTTTACAAAAAAAATAGGAATGCCGAGACCGAATACAGAATGTGTCGTTGTTGAGATCATTAAAGTTCAAGCACTATTTGTTCAATAGTAGTTTACTAGGATGACTCTCTACCCGGTGATCCAAACCAGAGGCGTTTTGCATAGAGTTTGCCTAAAGTTTCCTATTTACCATCACCAGATACTCCATTGCCAGTGCTAATCAGCAGGCTGGAGAAGTGTAGTCTCCATAAATTCAGTATACTCCGGGCATCTGTCACTAGTTCACCTCCCTGGGTCCTACAAGAGTTTACTCCGGTCTTGAACCCGACCTATATTTTCATAGAATTTTCGAGCATTACTCTTGCGTCTCAAGCTCTTCTTCTCACGCATCTTAGCCTCTTTTTTTGGATTTTGCGGATGCATCTTGCTTCCCTCTTCAGCTCTCGGTATCTATATCAAGCCGCACATGTTGTGGTCGATCGCAACGTTGCGAGGTAGGCAGTCTGTTTTCTCTCTCACCCGCGACATGGCAGTCCTGGTCGTACTAGCTATTTTTGCGACTTTTACTAAACCCAATAGTTTTGCAGCTGTACGTGGAGAGTTCGAAATACCGTCCCACAGTTCCCTTATACCGGGTTGCTGATGAACAATCTTAAAGAGCAGAAAACCGCTGGGCAGTGTGTTGTGATTGCTGCTTTTCAACGTCGAACCTTCATTGTGTTTGTTGACGGGCGCTCTTTGGTACATCGAAAGAGATCCGAGTCAATATTAGGACCTCGCACATCTAAAACACTGGATATATCTCTTCTGTCTATCACAACATGATCTATCTGGTTGAGGGTTTTTCGATCTGGAGACAGCCAAGTACCTTGGTGAATTTTTTCGTGCTGGAATCCAGTGCTACAGACAACCACATTTTATGCCCCGGCGTCATGTAGACGGAATTCCGACTGTTGTTCCACTCCGGCGTTGAAGTCGCCAAGCACAATTTTGACGCAGTGGCGGTGAGACGCTCATAAGTGTGCTCGAGGCGCTCGTAAACGGCATCCTTGGGCCAAATCATTCTTTCTTCTTCTTACATCGGGGAGTGGCCGCAAATCGGCATAATGTTAAAAATTTTCATTTTTATGCAGACATTCATTCACCGGAGTATACGCCAGTACTTGGCGATGGAGACACTCTCTGCCATCGCAATTTCGAAACCAAATTTGCGCTCCTTTAGGTTGGCGCTGTAGTAAATTTCCCAAGAACCCACCTTCTTCCGTACTTGACACGTCCATCGCATCTCTCGGTTGGCAATGATGTCAGTCGACACTTTTATGAAGACCTCAACCAGCTTGGCAGCGGCACCTTTCCAATTAAGGGAGCGGACATTCCAGGTGCATGCCTTAAAATCGTAACCTTTAAAACATTTGCGGGTGTTGCTCATCCGAGGCTTATTTCGCTTTTTGATTGGATTTTTGGTTTTTCATGCGCACAACCGCATGAAATTCGCCTTCTTATTATAGCTCGCCTCCAACTGGATGTTTGTTGACTGCGCGAAAGCTTTAACACATTTTTCAAAATCATCAACTCAGAATTTTACTCTCGTGGAATAAAATGTATCCTCTACACATAGGATTGCGTATAATATATGCTTATAATACAAACATACATACAAGTATATTTTAGATACTTGTCGAGATAAAAATGATTGACTATTTGGCGCTTTTAAAGCCATTCATATGGCCGGCATAGGACTGAGTTTAAATGTTTTTGATGCCAGTCATGGTATGTTTGTGGATATTTGTGCTATCATTAATACATATTAACTTTGCTTAGAGTTCATATCGATAAGCGAGTACAACACCTTTGCTTTTTGTTTGGAGAAAATCTTTTAGTGCTCACTCACCCGGTGGAGCAACTTGCCTTGTTGAAGTGATACGATTTTCATATATTCAGTAGCATTTTTTAGAAATAGAATAGAATAGAATCAGTTTTAAAAACCGATTTATAAACTCGCTGTTGATAAATCAATAATATAAATGTGGTAAGAAATGTGTATTGTTTGTAACTCATCCAGGCAAAAGTAGCTCACCCTTATGCAGTGCAACCAATTCCTCGACTTATTCGCTTCTACAACACAAACTTACTTCCTATCTCTAACAAACAGGACAGAGAAATTATCAACATTACAGTTCCCGCTCATTAAAGTTCTCGTCTTTTGAACGCTCTTTAACATGCAGTCGCTTTCAAAGCCGGTCCATGTGGTCCTTGGAATTTTCGGTTGACTTCCTCAAGTATTTTAAACTTCCAAACTCCTAGATGCTTAGAACGAGTTCTACAAGGTATGAGAATTAAGTAATCAGACTTATTATATAACCGTGATTGTGGTAACCTTGCGACCTTTCCTCTCTATTGATAGATTTTCCGTCGCTCTAGCTTGTTTAATTCGCTTGCTGTGTCGTGTTGAGTAAACGTGGTGCTCGCCACGAAATTGGAAATTATTGCCTTTTTTGATAGACGCGGAATCTTCTACAAAGAATTTCTTCCACTGGGGGAAACCGTAAATCGAGTCTACTATGACCAAGTACTCGAAAGTTTGCGAAACGAGCGCCCAAACATCGCTCGTAATCGATCCCTTATAACAACAACGAGCCGTGCCACGCCACCTTCAGCACATTCCAGTATTTGGCCTCTAAAGAGATCGCCGTGTTCACCTTGTGAACTTTTTTTGTTCTCTAGAACAAAATCGGTGGACAAAGGAACCCATTTTGAGTCAATTGAGCACATCCAGGCGGCCGTGACGAGGGTACTCGCGTTCCTGAAATGTAACGAAGCATAGAAAACGGGACCACTTTGAAGGGGATGGCAAAGTTGTAGAATAATTTTGAAAACTACGGTTTCTATGGACTCAGTCTCATTACTTAATTGTCACTATCCGTATATAAGGTTAGACAGCAGAGGGGAAGATATTTCAGCGTCTTTCCTTGACCTGTCTTCAAACCATCAACCATTCTTTCTGCAATCTCCTTGTGACCTGAGGCCTCACTGTTTCAGAGAATATTTCCAAATACAACACGATTATTGCTTTAATGATATCTTTTGTATTCATTCCTATGCGGTCAGCTATTTCAGTAGCTTTCTCTAGCGCGAAAATCTCGATCACTGCAATAGATTCCAGGGCTAACTCCATCAGCCATTTTGATGTTGAAAATACCGCTAATTGTCCACGGAAGTTTTGAGGCATTTTTTAATGTTGTTTCAAATCTTTATCCCCAGTTAAAGTAGGGGATACATCCTTTTTTTAGAGATCCAGGTCCAATGGTGTAAGAAAAAATTACCTAATACCGCTGCTCTCACAATTGATGGTAACTTAAACAAGTTTTCGAGCGATGTGAATGGTGTTATCTCTAAACTTCCTATTATACGGAGTGCATTGAGTCGCTGTATTTCCTCCAATGGTTTTCTGTATAAGATATTTCTTGCAGCGGTCCAACATACCAAAACACATAGAGTAAGATTGACTTGACTCCCCCTATGTAACACCAATTCATGAGCCCAGTCGATATGATCCACGAGTAATCTGATATCTTCTTACATGAGTAGCGGGCTGCTATACATCCTCAGCACTGCATGAAGCTTCCACATCAGCTTGCTCTATGAATTTATGGCATAAACACGTTATGTCTGTTTGAGGTGGGAGATCCGAATTTATTTATCAACTTACTACAATAATTTTATATCAATAGAAAAGGAATTAGTCAAAGTCCTCAACACCAACGAAATATGCTGTGGGTAAGCTTAACTTCTTCCGCGATCATGGAACCCTTAACAAGTCCGTTATGATACTTATCCTATTCCTATTAAAGGGATTCCTTTTACCTTTCCAAGTGCCCAAACTGCGAGGGAGAATTCATAGAAATCCGGAAATTAACTGATACAAGCTGAGCAAGATAACCGATGAAGAGTTTTCCATGAAAATGATTACGGAACGCTAACCACTGAAGGCTATACGTGACAGATATAAGTGTCCTTCCTCCTCATTTATTATATTTCCCTGCAGCTGCATACAGACAACATGTAACTTTGTGAACTAAAAAAAATTCATGCAACCGATTTCCTTCGTTCTTCCGTTCTATAACCATACATACCTGCGTACCCCCTCCCCCCCCTCCTTCCCCCCTTTCAAAAGAGATACTAAATATTATTTAATTCTGATTAAATTAGTCATATACCGGTCATGAGTAAAGAGCGATCTCTTCAACCAAAATGACGCTCTGGAAATTTGCAACTTTTTGTTGAGCATCTGCTCCTCTCTCTCTCTTTTGCGTATCATATACCTCAGAAGAGAGAATAGTGAGAAGTAGTAGGTGTAAGTTTTAGCATTCTCTGTTCAGTATGCCTATGCTCTCGCGCTCTTATCGTAAACCAAAGTTTTTTAAAGCTAAACAATTCCATTGTTTGAAGTCGAAGCTTTCTTGATCTTATAGATAAATGTTCAAAGAGTTAGTTGAAGTGAACTTTCGTTATGGCAAGGCAATCTCTACTGAGAGACTCATTTAAAGGAAAAAATCTCTATTTCATCACTAAGCTACTCAGCGAAAGCTTCACCTAAATACATGAAAGTCATTCTTGTACTTATGAATAATACATAAACATATATATGTATATATATACATTTTTGTATTGCACAAATCAACATCATCGCGCTTTTGTTAAACTCTGCCAACATAACCTCACTATTTTCTTTCTTTCCTCCATTACATATTCTCTCTGTGCCATGGCCGTCAATTGTAACCAACAAACAAACGAAAATGTTGATCGCTAAATAACAACAACACTAATAACGTATGATGTGCACACTCATGTGCTTACCCATATATAACTTACAAAAAAAAAAATAAAAACAAAAAAAACAACGAAAACTATAAAAACGTGCCACTCAACTTTCTAACGTCGAAAAAAAAAAATAAAAATAAAAATTAAAAAAATAAATTAAATAAAAATAAAAATAAAAATACAAATAAAAAAGATAAGCCAAGGCTGGATACTTGGTCCGGAACTCTGCGACATTTGGACATCGTGCGATGTATTGTGCTGTACAGCTTCCATATTGCATTTAGTTGCCATAGCGGTTGATAGGTGAGTACGCAGAGCATATGTATGTATTTGTATATATTTAATAAAATTAAGTAAACTTTCAACGTAGAAATAAAACATTTACCAAGAAAATAATATATAGTATAAAAACAAAAGATTTTGAAACCTTTAAATACCTTTCTTCAGTGAAATTTAATATTTAAATTTATGAAAAGTAAGAAGCTCAAATACCATGAACCAAACACAAAGCAACAACAAATGTCAGGCTTAGAGGATAAAAACAAATTTTTATAATCGAAATTCAGCTTATTTATTTTTTCAAAATATTTTCCTTTTTTTCTACACTTTTGCATGCGTTTTAACCAATTTTCGAAGCACTTTGGCACCGCTGATTGGGGTAACTCTAAAAGATGCCCTCTGAACGCATCAACTGCCTCTTCAGAAAACGAAAATCATTGAACTCTCAGTTTATTCTTTACGTGAGGGAGTAAACAGAATTCATTCGCTGCAAAGTCAGAACCAAATCAGTTTGATGGCTCATGACTCAACCGTTGTTTTGAGTGTTCTAAAATGCAGTTGTTTCAGTTGCTGTGTGAGAGAGCGCATTGTTGTAATGAAGAATGATCCATGAAAGACAACTGGTAGAAAAAGTGCAACTCAGAACCCTATGAGTGGTCATAAATCACTCACACAGCACGTTCCTTATGACTATATAAGCGATGCGGCTTATCCCAAAATAATTGGCGCATACTGTAAGGTCCTTCCTTATATGGACTACGATTAGAGCCTCGTCGGGCATGCTTTCGTCCGACAATATTCTGTAGTGAAGCTGATGCCTACATCTTGTCAGCTCTCCACTCTCGTATTTGAACAACTCGACAGGCAATTTATAGGAGCTCGCCTTCTCGCTACTCTCTAAGTCGAGTGATTGCCGTTTGAAGTTTATAACTTTGTCATCGTTTGGCGATTTGGGTCTGACTGTTACTTGAATTTTTGCCTTATATGCGCAGTAGGCTCTGAACGAACATCTGTCAGCAATCCGCCTTTCTTATTACCATAAGTATTATCTGGTCATGAAACTTGCAATAAGTCTTGCAAGCTCTTAACACTACGCATTTTGGACTCGCTTTTCCCATTGAAACACTGGTGACATGTATTTCATCTATCTGGCTTTGAGTTATTGTTGTTGTAGCGGCTAGTCTAACCACGCTTAGGAGCAGGCCTTAGTCATCGAAGTCACCCAATGGGAGGGCCAGAGGGAAAGAGAGGTAGATGACTATGCTTCAAAGGGCATACAAATGGGTGATAAGCATCGTGCAGGGTTTGATGTCATGCAGTAGAAACATTGGGTATACCCCGTTAAGTCTGAATAAATAGAAATTTAGTCTAGCAAAATATCCAAATGTTAATCGTGCCAGTACTACTTGAGACTCTCTAGGAAACTCGAGCTCTTTGTCTGCAATGAGTGTTAATTTGACTCTGTGTACGTCGTTCACTGGAAGAGAGTTCAAGACAGTGTTAACACATTCTCGATGAATTACGTTTAAGAGCTGTCGGTAAGCCCTCCTAACTGGCAGCTCTTGTACATGGTACTGAATGCCAAGTCAATGTAGTCAAGTGCACTCTTCCTGATATGACTAGGTGAAGCGTCTTAAGTAAATATCTGTTTGGAGCTTCTTACGCTAGCATCCCAGCAGGCCTTGCTTGCACAGAATAGTAGAGCCGAAAAAGTGTCTTAGCAAAAGCTTAGTGGTTTTTTATAGAATTTGAGACTCACCCAACCAAAAATCGTCTTCTTCTTTTCCTACTGTAGACAACGCTTACGCAATTATAGTCGAATCAACAATACCATGACATTCGTCCGTTTTCTTAGATACTTGGCACCAGTTGCAAATCAAATCGCTCTGCATTTGAACCTTTCAACGGAGTGAAGGATATTCTTCTTCCCTTTGCTTTCACCAGCGGGTACTGCATCGAATACTTTCAAACTAAAGTATAAATACAATATCTATTCGGACCACATGATCTAGCCAGCATGATCGCTGTTTCTTCATTCGCTGAACTTTATCAATGTCATCGCATAGCTCGTACAGCTTATCATGCCATCATCTGCGATATTCGCCGTTGCCGGTGCACAGAGGACCATAAATTTTACGCAAAAACCTTTCCCTCGAAAACTCCCAAAACCGACTCATCAACCGTTGACATCGTCCACGCTTCTGCGCCATATGGAAGGACGGGTGTGATGCGCGGCGGGAGAGGACTTCTCAATTGCCTACTCAGTCCAAATTCGCACCTGTTGGCAAAATGAGTCTGGGTTAGGTTTCCAGGCTGATATTATTGGTGTTGATGTTGGTTCCTAGATAGATGAAATTATCTACGACCGCCAGGACTGTTAACTGTGACATGGGAGCCGCGCCACGATTGCGATGACCGATTGTTTAATGACTGCAGATATATCTTTCTGCTTTCATTCACTACCAGACCCATTCGCCTCACTTGCTTATCAAGTCTGGAGAGAGTAGAAGGAACGGCGCGGTTGTTAAGGCCTAAGGTCAGCAGTTGGATAATCATATAAAACAACAAAACTACCTAAATTAGCATCAAATCGACTTCAACTACTACTTTTTTAATTCTTTTAACGGCGAAACTTTGCGGCGCGTGCAATTTATTTTATCGTTTTAGGTGATTTTCAAGTAGATAACCAACAAATATTCAAGATTGATGTACAAAAATCGATAATTTATCACATGACATATGTATGTGTGTAACTATGTATATATGTTTAATAATGTGTCACTTGATATAGATTAAAATTTCATCATTTATCATCAATTGATTTGAGAGTAAATAAATGTGAAAAATAAACTGACCTTGTCGGGGATAAGAAACATTTTAGGCAGAAAGAACAGAAGATGCCTTCAGATAAGACACAAAAGTTTAAAGATTGTCAACTAAAAGTGAAATTTTGTGTATTCTTAGAAGAATTGCACAAATTGAAAGAAAAAATTACAAAATCTCAATTACAAATATTTCTCAGAAATCTACAACAAGCTTTGCTGGCACATTTAAATTTCCAACTGTCATTCCTTCGTACGCATTTCGTTCGCTTTGTTTATTTGATTTTTGGCATTTAATCGGTGTGACGACAAACTTAAATCATGATTAATGATATGCTTTTAAGGCATTGATTGACTTCTACGACTTTATTTGTCATTTGAAGAATAGCCACCAGATAACAGACAAAATCAATCCGAAGAAAAAATAATAAACCAAGAATAAACAAAAACAAGGCACAAACAAAGTAGAAGAACAAAAAAAAAAAGACGAAAAGAAAATAGAAACAAAAAGCAGAAATGAAGAACGAAAAACTTTAAAATACTTTTAGTTGAAATAAGTGAAGAGCCAACGCAAAGCAATGTAATGAGCGAGACCAAATTTACGCAAAATAAAAGCAAAAACAATTTTGATTACCAATAAAAAGACGAATTTGTATGTAGCTTTGTATATATAGTAAATATGTATGTAATTTCAGCTTTACCATCAGTTTGTCTTTTGCTAATGTTTGCATGCATACACCTCACGCCTGGCGCCTTAACGCCTAAAAGGCCACTACTACTACTGGCACTGCCACTGCTACTACTGCTTTAAACACCTACAAACACACACATTTATTTGGTATCCCATTTATATTGCTCGTTTTTTTTTGCACAGAAAGTTAATCAATCAAACACAAAAAGTTTTACATTTCAAGTGGGAACTTTACAGAAAATTTGACATTCAAACGGAAGTAAACAAGGCTGTTGGCAAATGAAAATAAATTTTAAGTTGATTTATGATTTTCCTAGTGATTTTAAGAAGTCAGTGTGTGATGTTGCTGTTGTGTGGAGAGCAATGGTCATAAACTAACCTAATGACACTGATGTCACATGGAACTGGCTTATTTGCTAAACGGAGGTAAATTGAAACTATTATTTCCCAATACGTCCGTAATTATAGCAAAGCATCTTTGCAATAACAAAAACAGTTTAAGCGAAATAGCTGCCAGGAACCGTAACCGCTTTATAAAATTTTCCATCACCAAATCACCCACCATAACTTCACGAATTCCATATCTTTGTGGTATTGAATTTACGTTGATCTATTGGCATAGACTTTATCTTTTACTTGGCTCGAAGGAAAGAAGACACAAAAGTGTCAGATCGCACATTCTCGGTGGACGATTACCTCTTCCAGAGGAAATCAGAGAAGTCCGGAGAATTTTGTCTTAAGAGAATGTGGTTTTGTGTAGCACATAGCACCGCCTTGTTGAGCGTAAACTTTGTCTAGATCACTACTATTCAAGTCCGAATGTAAAACATCATTAACGATCTCTGCATAGCGCAATCCATTCACTGTAACTCTCCAGAAAGTAAGGTCTAATAACACCGTCAGACGATAAACCGCACAAAATTGTAACACGTTGCGGATGAAGCGGCTTTTCAACAATAAAGCTTGGGTTTTGCTTATTGACGTAGCCATCGAGGTAGAAATAGGTTTGATAAGTCAAGTTGATTTTTCGATAAAATTCCGTATAATTTTTCAAGTATTTTAGGTACCCAATCGGCGAAGATGCGACGTTGTTGATGATCGGACGGCTCGAGGACTTGAGTTAACTGAACTTTATAAGCCTTTAGATAGAAGTCCTTTTCAAAACTATGGTGTTATGACGGTTGCGGTATGCCCAATTCCAAAACCCTGGGATTTCTCCCATACTTTGGGCTACAGCTGCAATATCCTCAATTGTGCTTGAGCGACATGCACGTGTTTTACTCTACACATCACTTACTTGTCCCAACAGCTCCATTCTTTTCACCAATGTCTCTATTCCGATCCGACAAGCTGCTTCCTCACGACCGAAAAATATACACTAGATCGTGGATATGTAAAAAGGAAAAAATCAAAACAACAATAAGTGAAAGCGGCACTCATGTAGCTTAAGGGGATAACCATTGATTCGTGCTGTGGGCATCATAAGTTCAAATCCAATTAGAGCAACGGTG